TGTGTGTGTGTGTGTGTGTGTGTGTGTGTGTGTGTGTGTGTGTGTGTGTGTGTGTGTGTGTGTTTGTACGTAGGGACATAAAAGATGCGTCTAGTAGTGCGTCTTTACTTCTTTGTTACACTTCCTCTTTATCAGCTGTTTAGCTCTCTGTGTTATGCTAGTGTGCCCTCTGACTGCGTGTGAGTGCTGATGTTGTCCTTATTGTTCACTTTGCCTGTGTAAAAGGATATGAATAGTTTCCTCCTACGGTCATATTTGAAGAGGTAGCACATACTTTGTACTTTATACCAGGTAACAAGTAAAATACACATATTGCTTTTGGCTAGATGCTAATATTAGCATGCTAACATGGTCATGATTCTGATGCTAATGTTTAGCAGGTCTACAGTTTACGCTTTTCTCCATTTTTATGTGTTGGCTTTGCAGCTGATGGGGTGGGGATGTGATTTGTTCTGCTACATTTTGACAGCTCTACAGAAAATACTCTGGAAATGAACCAGAATCTGCTTCTCACTGTGGCACAAGAGGATAATCAAAAGATCATCAAAGTCAGAACCTTGAATGTCTTAAATTTTAGGTCAGGCTGACAACTAAACTGAGCTGAGCTCTTTTATCTGCTTGAGGTTAACTGACATGTTGGTTGTTGATGCATGACAAGTGACGGCATCATCAAACACGTTCAGATTCCTCCTATGGGAGGCATGAGTGAAAGTGACATGGCAGTCTAGTTCTAATTGTTGACTTTTGAGGCTAAAGTAACAGAAATAAAGCTCAAACATGTGTAGAAAATATGGCACTTTAGTAGATACAGATTTAATAATTTAATATAGCTGAAATAAGACTGCTCCCAGGAGTGGCAAGGTTATCGCTCCTTGCCAGCAGCAGAAAAATTCTCCTCCTCAGGCTGGATGGCAGATGAAGCTCCGCTGCAGCTCTTGCTGCGATCTTTCTAGACTTCAGTAAAATATGTCCGTACAAGAAAATACATAAAAACAAGCAATGAGACAAAGCAGTGTGTCGACTAACAGAGAGGAGAACAGGTTTAGAAGAAGGAAATCAAAGAAAGGTTGTAAATCTGAAAAAGTATCTCAGCCACACTCTTCCTTCCTGTTGGTGTGTGTTCCAACCTTCCAACACAGAAAAATCCTGGTTGGGAATTTATGCATCTTGCGTGACTTATAACAGTGACACAGTGAAATAATGTGAAGTCATGCAGACCTGGGTTAGTAGAGAAAAGCATTAAGTAACCTGCAGCCTGCTGGGAGGCACAGCATTTGGAAGACATGTCCATTTACCAGTGAAATGTGTCATAGAGCTCGGACCATATGACTAAAATTCAGCCAAATTTGTGTATGCGTGCTGTAGTAGTAAATGTACATATTTCCACTCTTCACATAAGACTACCATCCAATACACTGTGTGGGAGGATCCATGTTTAAAATCCACGCTGAACACTGAGTTCCATTTATTTAGCCAACACACCTTCTCCTCCAAACAGCTCATCTGACCCTGCTAGGCTTGAGTGAAAGCTGAGTGTGGGTAGGATACATTTCTTTGTGAATGCAAAGCAGCGAATCAGAAAGCAGATACTTTCCTAGCAAGAGTCACATTCATCACCTATGGCACGTCCTGATCTTCGATCACCCCAGCAGGGGGTAAAACCTCTCGGATTCAGCCTTTATTGATTCCAAGTGTGACATGCAGTCTGCACGTGAGACCATCATCAATAAGAGCTATGTTGTCATCAGCTCCTAGGATATATCCCAATGGATCAGTAAAGAAATCAAAGAGATGAGAGCATGCTCTTAGCATTGCATCACAAACTTATGTTTTTATGTAGAGTTTATAATGTAGCCATAAAAGATGCAGAGCTGGAAAGACTTCAAGGTTCCACAGATTTCATTTCACGAACACGTCATCTATACATCTTAATCTGTCAACTTGAATGCAATGCAGTTTACCCTTGTGCAATATGGGTTTATTCATGGGCCAAAAGAGCAGATGATATCATGGTTGACGACATTGTTATTTAGAAAAAAATGATTTTGGTGTCTGAAGAGTCCTGTTCTCACTTTTGTCTGATAACACACGAACAGCCAGGTTCTTCTCTGCTAATTCGACACAGAGATCATTCAAAAGAACCAAAGTCTGTGAGTCATTCATCATAAGCACCCAGCAAAAACGGGCTTTAATGGTTTTGTATCACTGAGACAGGTCTCAGGGTTCCAGTCAACAGAAGCGTGCAAACTGATAACCTGATGAACTCTCTTAGAGCTCAGCTGGAGACAAAACTCATTTTTACAATGTTTTGGTTTTAAATATGTTGGCTGATATCCTTTATGTATAGAAATATAGTTGCACATACTTTAGAGATATAGTAAAGGGGAAAATGATGGACTGCTTGTTTACTGTAAACAGACTGGTTCTTATTATAGTGTTTTTCTACACGAACGCTCAGTTTTCACCCATGACTCACACACTCATGTTGGTCCCTTATATCTAACATTCACACTCCATTGAGCACATCGGAGAAACCCGAGGTTCAGCATCTTGCCCGAGGACACTTGAGCAGCCAGGGATTGAACCACCAACCTTCCAAATAGCAGATGACCTGCTCTAGTTGACATCCCAGTATTTCTTTGCATGACAGGCACAGGCGAGTGAAGCTCTTATTGCGATTACACTGTTCAGAAAGTCCATGCAAAGTTCACCTGAAGCCCGGCACATCCCAAACAGCAGCAAGTATAGACTCGGTACGTGCTGGTGAAAGCATGCCACACTCTGTCTGTGTCACACTTTCACCTTTAAAATCCAAAAAATCCCTCTTGCTGTCAACTTTATTGAAGATAACAATGAACACACTGACCTTTGACCTGCGAGGAAAACTGTGCAGTGTGCCTGGCTTCAAACAGCTGCAGCTCTTTATCCAGGTCAAAAACAGCCAGCTCAACGCTCCAGGAGCGTAAACCTGTTTTTGGAACACACAGCAGCAATAATGCTCAGAATCAAGAGTTCAGTATGCCCTCACAACAATTTACTACATTTCTCTGACAGTGAGAAAAGTTTTGCTTGTTTGTTTGTTTTTCTAAATTTATGGGAGACCAAAACTGCCATAAACAAACAATTAAAAACAAACAAACAAAGCTATTCATTGTTCTTATGAGGAGAAGAAGAAGTAGCAGTATTAATGAAAGAATAAGTAAAATTAATTACTGCACACATTTCCCTCTAATATTGTATTTGGTACATTTTATTTATTGCTGCATTAACATTTGAAAACTACAACATTAACATGCTGCTTATGTGCACTCTTCAATAATAAAATAGCTGGATTAATAAAAAAGTGAAAGGTGCCATTCTGTGCATTTGTTACAAAGAATATTTTAGCAATAACTGGATTTGTAGTTATGGAAGTTTTACCTAAGTTTGCACTGCAGTGCTTTTAGATTGAGGGGAATTATTAAAAATTAATGCACTCTTATGCAGCTAATTACAATTTGAAGCTCTTTCCGGGACTGCGTCTGGATTTTTAACCAATAAATATCGGACTTCTTGTTTTTATGAGTTCATTAAAGAAACTAAGTGGGAACAGATACTATGTAAACACCAAGCCGTTTCATCGCCCCGCTCCGCTGTCACCGACCACTTGAGTTTGCCTTACCCTGTGTGATCTGTCTCCTGGCAGCTTCGAGATGATGGCTGCAGGAAATCTCTCCAATCACGATCAATATGCGATAGTTTCTATGCTGGAACGCAGCTCCAGGGTGATGCTGTCCGCGGTGCTGAACAGACTCGTCTGGTTCTGTTTGCTCCACAGAGGCAGCGGCTGAGATAGAGATTTCCATGGTAACAGTGCCACTAATGGACGCTGAGCCCTTTTCCATCTCCATGACAACTGCATCCAGAGCGAGCACCATGACAGTGCAGGATGGGGTGGGAGGAGTGACGGGCGTGGCTCAGAAGAAGCTAAACACTTGATTGGATCCCAGGTGATGTTGCTATTTGATGTTGCAGCATGCCATTGGACAGAAAGAAGAGAGGGATATGAGAATTGATGTTGATCATATTTCCTATATGAGGCAGCTGAAGCTTAAAAAAAGATTTTACAGTATCAAAGTGTCAGTTGCTTTTCCACAGAGTTCTTGAAAAGAGAGATTTATCATCTTCAAATGTGTGAAAATATTCATAAAACTGTTGATGTTTGATTAAACAAAATAATTGTTTTCAAACCAAAGATTTTGGTGTGTATTGAGTCCAATCAATGGCACTTACAATAGCCCTCATAGTGTTTTTGTATTAACTTTTTAGACAAAGGTGTCTGGGACTAAAAAGTTTGTGGCAAACAAAGCGTCTATTTATATCTGTGTGACTGTGAGCACCAGGCAGTGTGCCTCTGATTACTGAACTGACGTGTCTTTGTTCAGATTGTGAATAGAACAATGCTTCATCTGTGCACAGAGTAACACTGACAACAAAGGCTCACAGTCACCACAGAAAACTGTTATTTTAGGCTTCATTTGAATGATGAAGCAGTACTAAAGTTGCAAGTTGTCCTTATACATGACAACAAATCTGCAGAAAAGTATTAGCATTGCTGAGGCGTGCATTTGCTCCTATTCTACAACTTGTTAACAAATCATTGAAGAGATGCAATAAATTGCAGTAAAGTGAGATTTTCATCAATACCCAAAGGTTGATTCTGTTCATCAGGACCTTTTCAGTGGGAGAAACGTTTCGTCATCATCCAGGTGACTTCGTCAGTGTCAGCTGACTGCATTTTCCAATCTTATAAATAGGAAATTTGCACATGACTGAAACCAGCACCACTGAGGGAACAGTGGGCTGGAAGAACATCAGTTTCTTCATCATTAATATGCAAATTGTCATGGCCATTGATCAGTGCTTGGTGATCAATGGCCATGAGTCCCATCCACAGAGAGTTGGGGAATGGCTGCAATCGTCAGATGGTGACAGATGCACCCTTAGGCCCCCTCCTCCATTCAAAGATGGTCTTTCCCTTTTCACGTAAAGTAAGTGATGAAATGTTTCTCCCAGTGACAACGTCCAGATGAACAGAATCAACTTTTTGGGATTTCCTGATTGAGCATGCATCAAGACATTTTTGTCTATAGTGTGGGTCTTTACAATTCCTCTATAATATCATATATATGAACTCCACTGTTGTCAGTTCAACTTTTATGTTTACAAAAAAATGATTATATTGTCCACTAAGAGTAAACTCTTGGCAACTGTGGGGAGGAAAAACTTTCTTAAAACAGGAAGAGACTTCTGGCAGAACCAGGCTGGTGAATACGTTTTTGAGGTCTGCTGGAAAACCCTCAAATATGGCTGAATTAAAACAATTCTGCGAAGAAGAGCAGTCCAAAGTTCCTCCATAGCAATGTGAAAACTGCCAAGTTGTTGCCACAACCAGGTATTAAATTTAGGAGGCAGTTGCTTTTTAACATACAGGCCCCTGTGGGTTTAGATGCCTGTTTCCCTGGATAAATGAAACCATCATTTAAAAACTGCTTTTTGTATTGAAAAATTTATTTGATGATTTGAAACACATAAGGGTGACAAATATACAAAAAACTAAGAAATCAGAAAAGGAGGTTTTTGTTTGTCTTTCTTGTAAGCTTACTTTCACACTTCATGTCAGGTTAACTGACGTGATTACACGTGGGCGTACCTGATAGATGGATGGATAACAGAATTATTAAATGTCAATAACATATTTTTTTATGTAAAATTATGAAGTTTAGGT